CTGCGAGCCACGAAAACCGACCTCTGAGCCCAAAACCAGCTTTGCACAGTGCAAAACCGGTTTTCTCTATCGCAAACCGGTTTTCTCTGTCGCAAAACCGGTTTTGCACTGTGCAAAGCTGGTTTTGGGCTCAGAGGTCGGTTTTCATGGCTCGCAGCCAGTTTTCGACCACCAAGACGCTTGCCTTGAATTGGATGGTCGTGTCTCTTGCGACGATGCGCGTGACGGTGCTGAGACAGAGGTTAAAGCGTCGACTGGCTGAACGTTCTCTCATCACACACACGCAGCCACACATGCTCACTAGCACGCCGAGAGATCCCTGGCATCAGCAGATTTCAGCTGCAGGTCGCTCCAGATAGAGAGATGCCCTCCTCCTCACTGATGATGATGCCGAGAATGGGGGAACAGCACGGTGGCCGGCGGGAACCCACACCCAAGGGCACCATCCGATAAGCCCATTGCCGGCCTGCTGCAGCCTGCAGCAGCGCCAGAATCGTGCCGCCGTATGTGCCATGGCCATGCCATAGCCGTTTGGCCCGTTTGGCCGAGATCTCGCTGGCCGAGATCTGTGTCGACTCGGTGTCGACGTTGCGCCTTGGCGGCAAACCATTACCAGTATGACGTGCATAGCGATGGATTTGGGTGACCTGTGGAGCGGCAGCAACACCTTTGTGCCGTTCGGGCGCTTCCGCCGCTTCTTCCACCAGCCCGACGAATGTTATCGCACTCAAATGGGCCTGGCGAGAGGGCTCGGCACATACGACTACCTCCGCGCCCCGCAATTTGACCTGCAGGACGTCCACAACGACAGCTTCTCCCGCACGTACTTCGACCTGCCCAAGAAGTACAAGTACGACCAGTCCAGAGGCATCGGAGCCGCCAACACCTTCTACTTCCCGGCGCAGCGCAAGGCCACCCACCCCCAGGACACCACCCGCTCGTCCAGGAAGGACCGCCTGGGGCAGCACAGCAGCCTGGTGGAGGTGTACAACAAGAGCCCCACCAAGGGGCTCGACTGGATGGGGAGGGTGCAGCGGCAGGTGGGGGTGCTCGAGAGGGCCGAGTGGGAGGGCATGAGGCACTTTGCGAGGCTGAGGGGGGTAAGGACAGCACAAAGGGCGAGGGAGGGAGGACACACATACGCTCACCCGGCCACACTCGACTGCTTGTGTGTGTGTGTCTGATGTGGCCTGCAGGTATACCATTATCGTGATGTTTCCTTCTTTGAGTTCGAGGATTTGGCCAACTACGACACGCTGCACGGGCGCCTCTTCTCCCGGAGTGCGCCCGTCAGCGAGAACGATGCCCACCTCTGGACGGAGCAGCTGATAGAGACGCAGGTCGAGCTCAAGAAGCTCGGCGTCTATCTCAAGTCCGCGCACACACACAAATGGGACACACACGACAGCATCCATCGGATCTTCTCTGTGTGTGTCGGTCTGTCTGCAGCTCATGGGACCTCAAGGACTTTCTGGTCGATGGTCGGGGCACTGTCAAACTCGCGGATATGCGTGGCGGAATGAATCTCTTCAAGCACAACGACGTCCGCCATTACAGACATTACACCCACACACACAGAGTGACCCCCGGTGTTGTCTTGGTGTGTGCAGGACGGGTCGGTCAGGAGCTTTTTGGACTTGGTTGGCGACGATAACACCACACTACCAGAGGTCCGCACACACTCCACAAACACCCAATCGCTCAGATGAAAACGAACGCTGTGTGTCTGTGGCTGCTCAGATGAAGAGGGGCGACGACACCATCGACCCAGATAAGGCGGCTGTCTACATGATAGGGTCCGCACACCCCAACCCCCCCACACACACGCCCCCACCCCACACGGCAGACACACGCCTGCACACAGACGTCATGTGGTGCGTTGTGTGCAGGCGGACGTTGAGGAAAACATTGTCTCACCCCGGCCACGCCCGACTGCTCACCAACGAGGTCGCGAACTTCATCCAGACAGCCACAGCCACCGACCCCCAAGCGCGATCGACACTGAATGAGTTGCTGTGCCATTCCTGGTGCGGTGGGAAGGGCACACACGCCAAACTGGTCGGCTGATTGACATTATCCTTTGTGTGTGTGTGCTGGATCCATCAGGATGATCTTCCCACCGCCTCCCGGCCCCGTCGTCACGTTGGAGCCCCTCCGCCGCCCGCCCCACAAGGCACATCACTAGCCGCCCTGCAACCACAGCGACAACCGGCTGCGCACGTAGAAGCACGGACGTGTGAATGGGTGGGTGATACATAATGTGCCTGACTATGTGCGTGTGGGACGTCGCATACATCGATCGCCATGGGGGGAGAAACAGTCGAGAGGGAGGGAGGGAGGGAGGGAGGGAGCCAATCTGTCCAGCTGTCTGGCTGTTGGTCTGTCTGTTTGCCTGACTGTCTATGCGATGGACTGGCCCGCCGCTATGGGAAGAGAGATAAGTCAGATCGGCGTGGTGGGCAGACGGACAGACCGACAGATTGGCTGGCCGAGTGAGTGTACAGCGAGAAGGATGGCGGCCTCCGCACGACGGACACACACACACATGACGCCGTACATCCGCAGCTAGTCGATAGAGAGCGATAGGCCGCCCATCGGTGGCCGACCTCCCCACTAACTCAGACTGCCTGCCTGTCTGCATCCTGCCTGCCTGCCTGCTTCTTGCCTCGGCTCACTGCAATCCATCCGTCCAGCCCGTGTGTGTGACATAACTGTGTGCAGACAGACGGCTGGATGCCCACGGCTGTCTGTGACAAATGGAATGACTCTATTTTGTGTGTCAGACGCCTCAATGCATTGAGCGTACTTGACATAGAATGACTGGCCGGTGTCTTTCGCACACGCAAGGCAAACAGAGTGTGTGAAATAGCACACACTTAGTCCGCATGATTCACACACCACCATCGACACGCATACACATTCACGCATTCACACATCCACATCAGAAAGCGATGATAGCTGGCATCGCGCCAGGTGAAGCGCCGTGCTCAGGAAACCGGCTGCTAGCGGACGACGCTCGGTGCTGTCGACCACCTGAACAGACAGACAGACAGCAGACAAGCGGCAGCAAGGCGGCATCGGGATGGCAGTGTGTGTGTGCGTGTGTGCTCACAGCGTTTCTTTTCCCACGCGTATCGGCACCATCAGATGACGAGAAGAAGGAGTCGTGAGTCATCTACTCTCGTGCACACGATGTCATGTTGTTCACGATTGCGTGTACCGGTTTCTGGCTTGGCTGGGGCAGCTGTACAGCTGCACATAGACTGAGCCGATAGATGGGCGGCCAGGGGGATGGAAGATGCCAATCACCCCTGTCGCCTATTTTTGTGATGATGGGAGTGCCAAGTGCACGAGATGGGTTGCGCGAGAGCACGAGGACCGTCTCTGCAGGGGACACAACCCATCTGCAGGAACACAACAGACACAGCGACAGCACAAATGACTCATCAACAGGAGCTGTGAAGCCGCCATCTGTCGCTATCAAACAGGCCTACGTACAGGCCTGCAAGGGAACGAACAAGGCCAAGACTCAGATCTGTGCAGGAGCGTCTGACTCTTGACTCATCATCTCGATGCCTACCGTCTTAGATCAACTGAAGCTGCCGTGCGTCCTGCTGAGCTGCGTGCCCTCTTTTTGCTCTTCCATCTTTGGCTTCAAGCTCGCGATCCGAATCTGGGTGCTTTTCTCTTCCCAAATCGCTGCCGCTGCATCACTGACTGGCTGTGTACGCATTGCTGCATCGCTCCGTCGACGAGGAGGTAGCCTTCGCCATCGTTCATCCATTCCAAATCCATGGAGTTGTTTTGCGGCGCATCTCTGACTGTCTGTTAGCGGAGCTTCGAGCGATGTGGATGTGGATCTTCAACTCGTGCTGCGGGAGCGGTGAGCAGATGCAGAGCAGCGGTGACAGCCAGATCCAGAGTGGTCGGACGTCTGGTCCGGTGGAGTTGGCGGTGTTTGAAGATGACTATCCCCGGACGTATCGGTTCTTCCAGTTCGCTTATGACGATGGTGCCAGAACACCCCCAATGGGACTGAGTATGCCCCCCAGCACGCCCTTCGCCACCCTGGGTGACGTGAAGGACTTCATCTTCAACAACTACGGGCGGTGGACGAGCCGAGCTGAGGTGGTGCTGCTGGACTGTGATGGAGACGACACACAGCGCATCGTGGATGTGTATCCAGGCAGGTACGCGCTCACGAGACCACTTTTGTGTCTGCACACGACACGTGTGTGTGTGTGTGTGTGTGTGTGTGCAGAGGGGAGAGGGAGGAGGATCCCTTTGTCGTGCGGATGAAGGGACGGATGCCGCAGCGACGTAAGGACCCCTCTGACACAATGAGCGAGCTGCAGTGAGTAGTGGACACTCACTGGGTTTGAATGTGTGCGCGGACCATCAGGAAAAAATCCAAAGTTTGAGGTGCTCCGCCGAGGTGACATCTGCCTCGTGCGGAGCAATCCGATTTGCCAACCGACACGTGAGAATACCGGACGAAGGCGTCTCGACATGGGGCGGGAGTCAGGGGTGGAGGGCCGGCCATGGTTGCGGGGAGGGGTGTGTCTTTGTGTGTTATTCGCTGTTCCACTACAGTCATTTCATGTATCGTTTTATTGCCGCATCCATGGACACACGGATGGGTTGATGGATGGTTTGTCTGCTTGCCTGTGTGTTGCGGCGAGCGGATCGATCTGCATGCCCTCGGCTGATGTGATGGCGGCCGGTGACTTGTGCATGGGATGGGATGACGGACGGTGCGTGAATGAAGGTTGTTATCCAGGTCTCGTTTGTGCGATCCACACACGCATCCACACACCCATCCACACATCCATCCATCCATCCATCCATCCATCCACACATCGACACATCGGTGCCAATTAGTCCAGCAAGACACACGCACATCACACAGCAACCTAGACGTACACAACAGCTGCAGTTGTAGTAGTGACAGTCACAAAGACGACATTGATGAGGAGCTGGGGAATTTCCCATGCATCCACCAGCCAAGTGTCATTGAATAAGTAAAACTGTCACTGATCCCCCCCACCAAGTCCCACCCCTTCACACAGACGGCCACCCAGCCAGCGGCTGTCTCGGTCTAAAGAGGCTCTCATACTCTATCAGCAGCCACGCGAGATAGGACGAAAAGTCCACAGGGCGAAGATAGTCAGCAGCGAACCTCTGGGCGTTCTCGGCGATTTGTCGTGCCTCGTCGTCGTGCTCCAGCGCCCACACCAGCTTTGCCGGCAGGTCAGCGAGCGAAGGAGACACCGGGACGAAGTGAACCCATGGCTGCAGCCAGCCGTCCATCCACGTCTCAAAGGCGGTCTGACAGCAGTGAATGACACGCAAAGGCGGGTGTGTGTGTGTGTGTGGTTGCTCTGCTCTGCGCACCTGGAGGAAGACCAGAGAGTTGGAGCGGAGAAGGCTGACAAGTCGCTTGCTGTACGAGTTGCCATCGACGTGAAGGACGTACTTGTAGTCAAAGAACCGCTCGATCGGCAGCTTGTCGGCTTTGCCGAAGAGGTCCTCCAGCTGTCTGCAGGGCTTCTTGCGACCGCCTTTGCTGCCGCCCTTGCACTGACCAAAGCCCGTCATGCCCACATCAAAGAGGTCCCCCACACGGGATGACGCCCACTTGCCCGACGGCCACTCGTCGTCATTCTCGGACAAGAAGCCATGGGACCGCAGCTCATTGCCGACCTCGCTCAGGAGAGTTTCGTTGTTGCGTTGTCCAGACAGCCTGACCAGCCTTCCCCTCTCGCACTTCCATAGCAGATCGTCCGCATTAGTCCACAGGCATCCCGTGTTGGAACCGCGCCACACGAGCTTTGCCGTCTTGTCCTCCCATCGGGGCAGTGGGGCGTCAGCTTTCGGACGCCACTCCTTAGTATAGAACGGGGACACAATGTCGACAAAACATGGCGACACACGGGTGCGGGAGAGCATGGGCAAGAGGCCTCGGCGGACATCGAACGAAGCAGGGCTGACAAAGAAGCCGACGGTCGATTCGTATTCCTCTGTTTGGTTGGGGCAGGAGGGCCGGGTGGTGTCAGCGGCGCTCCTGCCCTGGAAGCTAATTCGATCAGGCCCTTCGGTGCTCCCATTTGCAGGCCTCAATACGCGCGGCTCATCCAGGAGGTTGGTCACTAGCATCATGTCTGGCAGCACTTGTGCAATCGGCGCGAGCAGCTCCTTTCTCCAGACATCAACCGTCCAGTACCATGGCTCCCTTTCACATGGGACAGCTTCCCGCCCCTCACCTGACACAACACCGTGAATTCTTCCCGTCATTGTCCCTTTCGACCCACCGTGTCCTTACCTGCCAGAGTGCAGCCCTCGTGGTCTTTGAGGCGTTCCTGACCATCTCGTGAGTGATACCGGGTTTGGCGTACGTCTGCAGGCCCCTGAACACCTCCAACTGACCGTCGACACTCGCATAGTGAGATGGCTCTGTCGAGCAGTTCTGAGCTTCTGCGTAAGGTCGCCACTTGTCGACGAGGGCAGGGGGGATCGCTCGGTTGTAGAAAGCCTCGTAAACCGTCTCAAAGTCGCTGCTACTGCCAGCTGAGGTGGTGTGCCCGGCAGGGGCAGCACGCAGTGAGGCGGTCCTCTTGCTTCGTCCCTGGTCATGCTGGCGATGGGTTGCCGGGCCAAAGTAGGCGAGTTGAGTCCATCTGCCGAGGAACGCGATGGTCGTCAGGACGGTTACAGCCAGTGACACCACGAATGGCCGTAGCATGGTGCTGACATGCCTCCGAGAGCCGCTCTCGCTGGTTTCGAAATTAACGCAACCGCAACACGGACACGAAACACGCAACACGGACACGCAACACGCAACAAGTAGTACGCAGGGATGCGCGCGAATTCGAACCGAGAGTTTACACTTACACATTCGGCCGTTGGGAGCGCCAAGTCAGAGTTCGCTGCATCACCAGCACTCTGCACTCTTCTTCATATACAGGACACGGTGATGACGGGTGCCCTCTCTCTTGAATCACAAGGCAAGCATCTTGGTGGTCCAAAACTGGCTGCGAGCCACGAAAACCGACCTCTGAGCCCAAAACCAGCTTTGCACAGTACAAAACCGGTTTTGCGACAAAGAAAACCGGTTTGCGATAGAGAAAACCGGTTTTGCTTGTTTTCAAAGCCCGGTTTTCCCTGTTTGAGTGCCGGTATTCGGGCCACACTTTTGCGGAGACATCTATTTGTGGTCGTGTCTCTATAAAACCGGCACTCAAACAGGGAAAACCGGGCTTTGAAAACAAGCAAAACCGGTTTTCTCTGTCGCAAAACCGGTTTTGCACTGTGCAAAGCTGGTTTTGGGCTCAGAGGTCGGTTTTCGTGGCTCGCAGCCAGTTTTCGACCACCAAGACGCTTGCCTTGAATATAAAATGCAGGCACCGATGGCAATACGAGTAGCCGAAACAGACACACAGCCAGCCAGCCAGCCAATCTACACTAAGTCAAACACGCTCAGCAGGCGTCCATCTGTCGGTCTGTCTGTCTGTTTGTTTGTCTGTCTGTCTGCACACTCATTCATCGACACGCAGCGCTTCACATAGAGATAGAAAGGGCCACCGAAGGGCGGCGTAGTGCTCTCTATTGGCTATCTGGTCGGTCTCTCTGTCTGTCTGGGCTGTCTGTCCGCCCGCACACGGCTCACCCGCCTCACGTGAGTGGATGAACACAGACAGTCGTTGTGCCTGCGGCACTGTGCGCAAAATGGATAGGCAGACACACAGACAAGTTGGCCTTTCCTCTCTCGCCCACCGTCCGTCCCTCTCTCCCCATAGACGGCAACCGACAGTCAGTGCGCACACACACACACCAACACACACATTTCTCCATCAATGCGTCCGCACACACGCATATCACACTGCACCCCCCC